CCTATAAACAATAATCCATATTTTTTCTTAAAATATTACTAATTTATAAAAAAAAATAAAGACATAATTATTATAAAATAAAGAAAGAACAGAAGTAACGTCTCAATAGGAGACATAAAGTATAGTTTAAACTCTTAATTTGGTTCCTCAACTATTGTTTAAATCTCTTATTTATTCTCTAAATTAAAAAAATATTTTATTTGATTTTTATTATTTATCAATTTAATTTTAAATTGATAGTTTTATTAAAAAAATAACTGATATATCTGTTATTTAATAATAAAAAATCATTACCTAATATTCACATGATAATAAAACACATCATCTATTTTTATACAGAAGAATCAATTTGAGTTCATATTAATAAATAGTAAGAAATTTTTTAATTCAAAAACCAAATTAAGGATTTTTAACCTAAAATATAGCACTGATTTAGACCTTGACCTAGACAAACAGACATATTTCATTGAATTGGCACAGCCTAAACGAGGAGAGTGTTTTTCAATTTAATATTATGGGTATAGTATAAAAAATAGTACAGTACATATTTTTAAAAAATATTAATTTAAAAAAATTAGGAACACAGTTTATTGTAAAAGAAAGAAAGTCAAGGAAGTTACGTCTCTCTGGAGGGAGACATAAAATATAGCATCGACTTAGACCTTGACCTAGACAAACTTACATTTATATTGAATTGGCACACCGAAGCGTGGGGGCTGTTTTTCAATTTAGTATGTAATTGAAAGAAGAGATCCAACGGCACACTTTGAACGGTTGCTATCTCAAAATAGAAGGATGAGGTCGTTCACTTACCACGATTGGCTTGCCTTCCCGGAAATCAAATTCCATCTTCGTATGCTTCCAGACTTTTACCTTTCCCTAGTACCATAAACATTATGTTGTTCTTTGTATATTTTCTGTTATTTAATAACTGATATATGTTTTTTTTCAGATCAAAACTTAGAAAAAAAAAAATGCAATTTGGTTACTAAGTTTTAGTTTGAAAGTTGAAACAATGATTAAAGAATAATTAAAACAAGGTTAAATGTCAATTTTGATCCTTCAACTTTAAGGTTTTATATAATTTTTATTTTTTAATTTTTTAATATTTTTTTTATCCCTTAACTATGAAAATTGTAATTTTTTAATCCTTTAATCAGTTAATTTATTAAATCTATCTAAATCTACACTTATTAATTTCTTAACTTCTAATATGTGCACATTTTTCGTAAATTGAAGAACTAAAAATGACATTTTTCGTAAATTGAGGAACTAAAAATGACATTTTTTTTAGTTAAAAGACTAAGAAAGTGCAAAAAAAGTTGAGAGGTGAAAATTGTGTAAAACCTTAAGTTAAAAGATCAAAATTAACATTTAACCATAAAACAATAGTTTAGTTCCGTTAGATGGGAACAGTTTTTAAAAGATTAATTTAATCCTGATTTGTTGGATTGGATTTGAAGTTTTTATACCACAAATTCTGCAGCCACGACGTCCTCTTTAACCCAAATTCATCATACGAATAAACGAAAGAAAATGGTTGGGACACATTTTTGCTTTAACACACATTTTAACATTTATTTGGTTTAATAATTAAAATATAATATAAGTACAATTAATTTATATATTTTATAAGTGTAGTTATATTTTTTAATTTGTCAGTTTTTAATTTAATATAAAAAATAATAATTTTTAATAAATATATTATTAAATGTGTTGAATTAAAAGATTTATCAATCATTGTCCATAAAGCAACCATGTTTAACAAGGAAAAATTATCAACAAAATTAGAAATGAAATGCATAAAATCCTTCAAATTCAAGACATGTTCCATGCATGTGCCTCGACTCAATTGCCTTCGCCGTCATTTCACATTTCTAATCTGGCATCCCAGTCAAAGGATATTCTAGTAATTCACAATATCATTAGAATAAATTACCCTTATTCATTTTTAATTTAGTGGAATCACATTTGTTTACCTCATAAATTGTAAAACTTAAAATTATGTTATGTATCAATTATTTTTTGAATGAATGGATAAGATTATGTCATGTTAGATCTGCTGTCCTGAGACCTCTAACAAATCAAATATCACATAGGAGGAGTATCTTTTAGGTACCTATTTGAATTGAAGTGGCCTGTTTTAACTATTATTTAGGAGAAGTTTCAATTGAAATTATGAGCTAGTAAATAATAGGGACATGTGGCAAAACCTAGGTGGAGATCTTACTCATTGCATGTTGAGGAATCCACCTTTTTCAAAATGATAGTGTCGCTCTGCCCCCACTCATTAATAGTATTTTAATCTCAAATCACAAAATGTTCGATGTCAATTTTTGCTAAAATTGACTAGGTTGATGGTCCTATAACTCTCCGCGTTGATATTTATTTTCTTCCCCATGATCCCCATGATCCTAGCAAAACAGAGAACTTGTTGAATGTTGATCATTATAAAAATGTCTGTTTTCAGATTCTTCATTACCCTGTTTTCGCTCCCCCTGCTCAGTCTCACCACTGAAGCTCAAATACCAAATTACGTTGGCCACAACTGCTCCAACACGACCACTATCACCAGTTACAGCACTAATCAATCTGACCTCAACAGCCTCCTCTCCGCCCTCTCCACCAACGCCAACGTCGCCAATGGGTTCTATAATACCACATCCGGGGAAGGCCCCGACAAGATCTACGGTCTCTTCCTCTGCACCGCCCGCCATGTTGCCACTGTTTGTCGAGATTGTGTCAAGTATGCTACCAGGGATGTGATTCAGAGGTGTCCTGTTGCGAATGAGGCCGTGATTTGGTACGATTCATGCCTCCTCCGCTACTCCGACGAATGGATTTTCTCCACTCTGGCTGAAGAACCATCCTGTCGGGTGTGCAATGGCGCCCGTTACACGGATCCGGGTCTACTCAACAGTGTACAGACGAAGGCCATGAGCGAAGCGATCGGTCAGGCTGTGTCAGTGCAGGAAAGGTTTGCCACAAAGGAGGCTAATATTTCCGAGTCAGAGACCCTGTACAGTCTGGTCCAGTGCACACCGGACCTGTCAAGGGATGACTGTGATAAGGGTCTCAGACTAGGCATGGAATGGCTAGGGAATTTTTGTTTTGGAGCCATAGGAGCTCAAATATTGAGACCCAGTTTTATAGTTAGGTATGAACTTTACTCTTTCTACGACGAGGTCTCGGCGCCACCACCAGCTACACCACCACCAGCTACACCACCACCAGCTACACCACCACCAGGTCCACTAGCCTCAATTGTTACTCCTTTTTACCCTTCTTATTTTTATCTTTTT